GGAAAAATGGAGATGATTTGAATAAAATTTACAAAAGGAGAATTCAGACAGACCCAGCTGGGTGATGTGTCTCAAGTGCCACCCCAGGAACTTGAATATCTGTTTCTTGTGGCAGGAACATTCCTAGAGAAGAGATTGGTGCATCAGGTTATTAAAGCTGTCCCGTTGTCTCTCAGCTCCATCCCAGCCCTCAAAGCAGCGCTGTGATGCTAGGAATCTGCAAATTACTTTTCTCCTTGATCAAGGAATAGGGGGCATTGGAAGGAGATGCTGAAAGGTAGGAAGATCCCAGGAAACACTTGTTCTTTCCTTCTGCTTGCTGTTTTTGTGTCATCTGGCCGATAACCCTCTGGTAGCTGGAGTTGGTCCCAGACAGACATCTTCCTATATGCCCAGAATTAACTTCACCGCACCCTGACAAAGGTACCAGCTTACCTTGGGCAGTCCTTCCTCCTCAGAAGTCCCAGTCCCAGCTCTGCCGGGGTCCCTACCTCCAGCTTCTAAGTTCTGACAACACCCACCTCTTCGCTTTATATTCCTAGCCTTAGGAGATGGTTGCTTTTTGCAGTTCCTATCTCTGTGTTTAACCCATTCCTTCTATCAAATTCTCTCTGTTGAAATACCTGGAATGGTTTCTGCTTTTCTGTTTGGATCCTGACCGAAACAAATGTTTGATGATATGAGCCATTAATATTATCCGAAAAATTCCACTTCACACACGTGCGTGCATGCACACACACACACACACACACTTTCCTGCTTATCATACATCTCTCTGATTAGAATTGGCTTCTCACGCAAATTTTCTACAGAGAGAATTTCTCTTCGGCAAGCATGTAAAACACGTATAGTTCACTTGAAAGCCATATTTTTCATTATAAGTGAATACATTTGAATGCTGGTTTTTATACATCAGTCTTTGGTGACCTTATTTTGGCTATGGACACAGATCTATCTCAGGGTCACTGGCAACGGGTATCCTGCACTTGCCGAATGAGGGTCAGGCCCAAATCTGTAGTTCCAGCCAAGTGAGGACATCCTGACCAGTCAACCAACCTCCTCTCTTATTCTTCCCCATACGGGTGTCAAGCATGAACCTGTTTCTCTTCAAATGACAATAGCTAATATTAAGAGACAATGTCCCCCTTTTGAACACATTACATTCCTTTCTTTTGATGCTTCTCCAAATAAAACTTCTCTGAAAAGGATCTAAAAGCCTTCAACATTAAGATATAAGTGAGCAATACAGTTAAACCACCTCCTCTAAGAGAGTATTTTTATTTCATTTGCATTTTAATAAACCTTTAATCGGTTTAAATCCGAGGGATCAAGTATTGATTTTTGAATCCCAGAATTCATTGAGCTGAGCGCTGGAGTATTTTTCAGTGAGAAGGGGTAGAGGGGAGGTGGGTCACACTCCAACTGCTCCTGAAAATCATGCAAACAGATGCCTTCTTTAGCTACCCTTCAAGTTGGCACTGATATAAAGACACGTTCAATCCCACACAGTCCTTGACTGTCCCTGGCCAGACCGTAGCTGATCTCCTTTTGGCCAAGGCCACAGTGGAGCACCCTGGGGGAAGCCACAGGGCACCTACACATTTCATAACAGCCTCCTTTGTAGAGCTAAACAAATATTTGCTTCCAGCCTGCAGAGCTGATTCACAGGCTTGAGTTTTCACATGTATTCATGTGTATCTCTGCTGCTCACAGGGGTGGCTTTGCCAACCTCCTGGCTGGACCCCCAGGGCCAGCTGAGCAAGCAAGATGTAGTGGCAGTCCCAGCTCATCTCAGCAGCTGGATGCCTCCAGACCTCGGTGCAGAACGGGGACTCCAGCTTTCACTGGGGGCAGGTTCTACATATTTCCAGTACTCTGTTCACAGGCAGGAAATGATGGCCCAACTCCAATTCACATCTTTGAAAACTGGATAAACTGGATACAAGGGACATGGCCAGAACATGTGTGAAAGGATAACCCCAAGTAAGATTTAATAACAAGCCAAAGTTTAAAATGAACCTAATGGGAAATTATGGGAGACAAATAAAAGGGACCCATGCCTATGGGCTGGGGCCCCTAGTTGGGGCCAGACTTGCGACTCTGCATCCTTGAACTTGAGCAATTGGCTAAGTCTTTTCAGACTGCCCTCTCCTCATTGGCAAGATGATGGGGGCTGGGGTTTCTTCAAAGCTTCCCCACATATTCACCTATTTGTTTGCTGGGGCCGTCATAACAAAGTACCACAACTCAAGGGGCTTACACAAAGAAATTCATTGTCTGCTAATTCTGGAGGCTGGAAGGCTGACGTCAAGTTGGTTCCTTTCAGGCTATGTGGGGGGAATCTGCTCCACGCCCTTTTCCCAGCTTCCGGTGGCTTGCTGGCCATCTTTGGTGTTCCCTGACTTGTAAATGCATTGCCCCCATCCCTGCCTATGTCTACACACCACATTCTCCCTGCGTGCGTGTCTGTCTCTGTGTCCAAATTTTTCCTCTATAAGAACATGGTTGTATCTGGTTAGGGCCTACCCCAGTGACCTCATCTTAACTTGATCATCTACAAAGACTATTTCCAAATAAAGTCATCTCGCAGAAGTATGGAGATTAGGACTCCAACATCTTTTTGGGTGACATAATTCCACTCATAACCTTCTGACCTGATTTTTGCAGGTGAGCCTCCTGGCAGATGGCTATGGAGCTGGCCTTCTCTCTGCTGGTCTTCTCCTACTTTTCTGTAAGAAGGCAGGAGGACAGATAGATACCTGTCTTAATGACGGCTTTCCAATTGTATAAAGCCAGGCAAGTCCCTTTACCTCTCTGAGCCCCCGTTTCCTCATCTAAAAGATGGCAATAATGGGTTTGCTGTGAGAAGTCAGTAACCTAAAGCAAAGAAATACTTGTCTGACACATGGTAAGTGTTCACCAAATTATAGATATTTTTATTTATTCCTGTTGAGTCAAGGGGAGGATGGGTAAGCAACTCCCTAACCCTGGCTGCATATTAGAATCAACTCAGGGAGGGCGCCTGGGTGGCTCAGTTGGTTAAGCGACTGCCTTCAGCTCAGGTCATGATCCTGGAGTCCCTGGATCGAGTCCCGCATGGGGCTCCCTGCTCGGCAGGGAGTCTGCTTCTCCCTCTGACCCTCCCCCTCTCATACTCTCTCTCTCTCAAATAAAATAAATAAAATCTTAAAAAAAAAAAAATCAACTCAGGGAACTTTTTGAAAACTATTGGCACCCAGGCCCCACTAGAGATTCTGACTCAATTGCTCTGGGATGGGGCCCAGGCACTGATATATTTAGAACCTTCCTGGTTTGTTTCAATGGGCAGCCAGGATTGAGAACTACTAGAATAGTTGAAAGGATTGAAAACAGCAGTGGAAAGCCTCGATGCGGTTGAAAGTCAGAAGAGGTTGACTTGTAGCTAGTTAGCCAGATGGTCCAGGTTGTGGGAGGTGCCAGGGACAGCTCTTAGAAAACTTTGAATGAGGTGACCTAGATTTCTGAGCCATTTCTTGTTTTGTGGTCTCCCTGAAAAATTGTTTCCAGGCCTCCATGAGGGAGCATCCCCACTAAGACACTCCCTTGGGCCTTTTCTCTCACAGCGATATTCCATCCACTTGCTTGCCCACAACACCCGTCTCAGCTCCAGGTCTGGGAAAGAAATCCTCAGTAAGAGTTAATGCCAGATAACAGCTTGATGTACTACCTTCCCTAGGGATATCTGCCTAGGAGGGCTCATCACAGGTCTCCAAGAACTCAACAGTGAGGAAATTTTGGATGGGTAGACTTACGGGATGGGGATGGCAGAGCCTCTGATCCGCCACTGGGTGAGAACTGCTCGCTTTTGAATAGGCATGACTATATATAGCCTATATATAGAGGTAGCTGTCCGGCAAAAGTGATACCATTTGAATCAGTGACTTCTGGGTCTCAGGTCCTTTGCTGCTTCTTCCCCCTTTCCAGCTGCTCTGTCACCTCATTATCAGGCCTGGCTTCTCCCAGGTTTGGCCTTCTTACAGTGCCATGCTTGTCCACTGAGCAGGAGACACTTGCCACTCATTGTCCCTTAAGTCCCAAGGTCTCTGCAATTCTCCTGGGGGAGGGGGGGCAGTGACTTTTTGTTTTGTGAGTGAATGAGTAATATTAAATGAAACGATATGTAAATAGAAGCAAATTTTCATGGCCCGGCTACATAAATGCCCTTAATTTATTATCATAAAGAAGTTAGGGATATCCATTTGCTCTTTGACCAAATTAAAATAAGTGTAGCAAATAAAAGAAATGATAATTCTCTCCATTCTGATCTGATGAAGCAGCGTGTTTGGTTTGGCCCTTTCCATTTCTTCCATTTTAATCAAGAATATGCCAGAAGGATGAGTAGCCAGAGACAGACAAGCGTCTTCTAATAGAAAGCAGGATGTTGTACCTTCATCTGGCAATCACTGACTTTAATTTAACCTTGGCTTTTGGAAACAAAGGGGAAAGGGAAATCTAGACTAGAATGGGGAAATGCTTTTGCTAGACGCGGGGACTCTGCACCCGAATCCAGCTCAGCGTTCTGGAGTCACCCAACTGCCTTCTGCTGCTGACGTCTGGAAGGAGGAATGAGTTCCCTTAAGCGGACCAGCGTGGAGAAGCATTAGCTGTACAGCGAGAGTGCATGAGCTCTCCGGATTGCCCTGAACTAGTCCGCCTGGCCATTTCAGACAGAACTGATGCAGTGAAGCCCAAATTTCCTGGCAAGCCTGAGGGCAGGTTTTTCCAAAAGCATCTCAGACCGCGAAGGCACATGTCTAATCACGAAAGCAAACCTCTGGACACATGCTCTCTGTTTCCAGCTGGTTGTGTATGTTTCCCTCACACTTTAACACAAACGTGCCAAGGTGTGACATTTATGAACCCCACCAACTGGGAGCTGCACGTATCAACCCGGTTGCCTGGCGGGGGGGGGGGGGGGAGTGATGAATGGGGGCTGTCCTGCCTGGGGAGGAGGACTGCTTCCCTCTGGCATGCCTGCAGCCTTATTTATTACACACCAAAGTATAAAAGAGCCCAGCCGGCGGCAGCTCGCCTCTCCAGCCCTGGCATTTGCCTGAGAAGCCCCGCCGTGCTCTCCAGGAGGCTCTGGGGCTCTGTTGAGAATCATGCTCGGGAGGCAGCTCGGCTCTTGGCACCTGCTGGCTTTGCTTTTCCTCCCATTTTGCCTCTGTCAAGATGAATACATGGAGGTGAGCGGAAGAGCTAATAAAGTAGAGGCGAGAATAGTGCAAAGCCACCAGCAGACTGGCCGTAGCGGCTCCAGGAGGGAGAAAGTGAGAGAGCGGAGCCATCCTAAAACTGGGACTGTGGATAATAACACTTCTACAGACCTAAAACCCCTGAGACCAGATGAGCTACCGCACCCCGAGGTAGATGACCTAGCCCAGATCACCCCATTCTGGGGCCAGGTACTCGGAATTCTCTTCTAAGGATTACTGTGAAAGCTTAACGAGTTTTGTTGTTCTTTTTCAGCTGCGATTCTTAGGATCAATGCTTTCGAGAAGTTTGCTGTGCTGCTTGTGGGGGTCTTTCTGGGTTGCTCTGGGGTCCTGGCGGGGTACGACTGCCGATCTCTGTTAGGAAATCAGCAGAGGATGTGGGGGGACACGGTGTCCCCCGGGGTCAAGAACAGAGCAGCCAGCTCCCTGCTGTGCTCTGACTTGATTTCTTTCTTGCTCTCTTGGTGTGAAAAGTGCTGAGCACGCAGATAAGACGTATCGGATTGCTGGAGACAATCATTTGCAGATTCTAAGAGAGTTGGATTTTCTTAATGCTTCCCAGCAGGGAGAAGTTGCCTTTTGAGTTTTTCACTTTGATGTGTTAGTTGACGGTGACATTTCATGCCAGGCTTGTTTATTTGATTTATAGTAGTCTAGGTTGCTAAGCCTCTATGTTCAGCCTGTGAACCATAGAGTTAGAGCAAAAAAGACTGCCTGTGTATTAAAAGCAAAACTTCATTGTGTGATTTAAAGCCTGATAATCACAGAGGACTTGATTTATTTCCCTGGGTGTGAACTCAGTGTCCAAGGAAACATCTTTCAACTCTTTTTGGGGATTTTTGGAGTGAGGTCAGGTTTCAATGTAGTGAATTGCAAATTGGTGAAATTCAATTTCATTTAAAACATTAAGAACAGACAAAACGGATATTGACTTACCTTCTCGGCATCTGGCATGCTGAAATCAGAGGAAGGGGGCAAGAAGAGTTACCTTGAATTACAAGAGCTTTGAACGAAGAGGTTTTAGAACAAAAATTCACTGTGTCTTTGCATTCAACAGGCCCTGGAAATGTTCATGCAGGTGAAATCCAAGCCTGGCCTCTCATAGACTGAAAAGTTTGGGTTGAGACTGGCGATATGATCAGACTGAAACCCCACACACGATCAGCTAGAGATCTGGGGCTGAGCTGGGATTTCTAACTCAGCTGCACAGTGCAGTCGCCCAGACTGTTCTGTCAGACCGTGTCAAAAAAAAATTGTTTCTTGGGGCACCTGGGTGCCTCAGTGGGTTCAGCGTCTGCCTTGGGCTCAGGTCATGATCTCAGCAGGGAGCCTGCTTCTCCCTCTCCCTCTGCCCCTCCCCCTGCTTGTGCTCTCCCCGTCCCCCCCCCCCCCGTCAAATAAATCAATAAAATCTTTTTTAAAAAAATAAAAAATTGTTTCTTTAAGGAGCCACAAAAGAAATAATAACCTCCAAATACTTATTTTTCAAAGCCCACTTTTAGAGATTGTCCTTTCATCTGACAATCCTTTTATTTTTTTTTTTTTAAGATTTATTTATTTATTTTAGAAAGAGATAAAGAGAGTGCACGGGGTGGGGGCAGGGGCAGAAGGAGAGGGAGTCTTAAGTAGACTCTGGGACTAAGCGTGGAGTGGAACGTGGGGCTCAAACTCACAACCCCAAGATCAAGAGTCACACACTCTACTGACTGAGCCAGCCAGGCACCCCTCATCTGATAATCTTTTGGCTGGAGGGTGACTCATGGTCCTCTGTATTTCCTTGTGGTGAAGATATTTTCATTTTCATCCAGGCTTTGACCTGGACTTTCCATTTCAGTGGGTGGGATCTTTGCTGGGCCCTCCCTGGCCTTCGCAGTATGTGCTCCCAGACGCAGCAGAAGGCAGATGTAGGCTGTTTGTTGTTATTTCTTGGCAACCAACACCCAGCTGACCACTGGAATCCAAATTACATTTCTACTTCGCCGTACCTTTGAGTAGGCAGCCAACATGCTGGAGTCAGATGAGAGGGGCGGGAAGTCACTTCCTGGCTTTCTTTTGTTGAAGTGGCAGTGGGGAGGGGGTGGGCTTTCAAACCCTCCTGGGCTCCTGAAGTATTTTCAAACAAACCCCCAACAGCAGATCCTGAGGAGATTTAGAACCATTGATATTCTGGCGATCCTCAATAGGCTCCTCTGCCAATGGGTATGGAGACTCACTGCATTTAGGATTTTCCTGTGTTCCCCTTCTTGCCTGCGTTCCCCGCCTCTCTTGTTTTAATTCTTCTTTTTCCTCATTTGTTGTTTCACCTATGATTTCCTGTGCTTCTAGTATGTGCCAAGCTTTAGGATGGGGATAAATAAGCCCAAGCCTATCTCCGGACAGTTCTGAAGGGCTCTCGTGGGGACAAATGAACAGATCATTGAATACCGTGTGGTAAACAAAATCTCTGCACAAAAGGCAGTTGGGGAGAAAGTGCCAGAGTGGTGGTGGCCGCTGCAGTGGATCCCAAAAGTGAGGCAAAAAGGATCGTTATCCACGAAAGACATAAAATCTAAAACTATGTGGGACGGCAAAGAGATGAGAGAGCCTGGGAGGGATGGGCGCAGCTGGAGCCCCTGAGCTGTTCAAGGAAGACACAGGATGATCTCAGTGCCAGCCTGGAAGATTCTGTTGGCCGGTTAAGGAGCTCAGACCTTAGTTTGCCTGCCAAAGTTGTGTTTGTTTGCTCACAACAGGGCAGTGAGATGGTCTGGCGTATGTTCTAGAAAAAGCACTCTGGCCATGGGCTTCGTGGTGGGTAGAGTGTGCAGAGACTGGGGGGAGAGCAGACTTGGGCTCTCTTTTCTAGGCAGTTTCTTCCTTTATCAATCTCCCCTCCTCCTCCTCCTCCTCCTGGACTCCCTCCTCCCCTTCTTCCCACTTCCCTTCTCCTTTCTCTTCTCTCGTTCTTCGGTTAAAGAAGGAGCTGTGGGCCCTCTTTCTGAGAAGTCACTCGCTAACAGCAGAGCTGAACCTGAGTAGCTGCCCCATGGCCTCCATCCACAAAAGGGCTGGGACTTGTCTTAGAGAACCCTTCCTCCTCCCGTGCTGCTCATTCTCCTTTGGCTTTCACATTTGACCTGATTATGAGAAAAGGGTTGATAAACTTAAGAGGGTATATGTAGTGACTCCCTAGCGTGTAATTGTCCCTTACCTAGGTGATAACTTCTGAATTAACACATCCTGTCTAACTTGTTCTAAGGGTCCCTCAAAAGGCTTGCAAGCATTATTCCATTTGACTGTATTGTGAAGGACCAGGCCAGAGGAACTTGTGAATGTTGTAGGCGGGCTCTCAGGACATGACCAACTAGTAGGAACCAGAAGATTCTCCCTGCTGGGGTGGCAGCTCTCTGCTTTCGAAGTGTTCCCGAGTAGCTTGGGCACCCACCCCCCCCCCCCCCCCGAGCAGCCCGCTCTCCTGGAGCTAACTTCTCACATTCAGACACCAGACTTTACAAATAGAATTTTTCTAAACCATTATTTGAGGGTTTAGGAAAGACCTTAGTATCTTTGCTTGCTCTTAGAGCTGGCAAGAAATTTCCTGGCCATTTTACCCAGTGCCCTAATTTAGTAGACAAGAAAAATGATGTGGGGGCGGTGGGGGGGGGGAGTGACATCACTAAAGCCACACAGAACTGAGATAGGAGTTCTGGTGCCAGGACAGACATGTTCCTAAAATTCTTAGCATCCCAGGAACTCAGTTCTATTTTCAAATGGCTCCCGCTTCAGAATTTTCCCTCCTTCTCCCTCAAAGCCCATTATTGGCAGAGCCTTGGATTTCTTGGAACTTAAAAAAACTGTATTTCACATTAGCAAAATCATACCAGGAAATTATGAAATACTTACTTCTCAGATTACGTCCTTGGATTAGAAGGTGGGGTGGTGCTGTGGTGTCTGACTTTCCAAGTGTCTGAATTTCCTTGTCCCAGACCACTTGCTTTAGCTGATTTTCTTTTCCTTCACCAGTTTTACCAAAGGTTTTTGCAGACTCCCATATCTGTCCAGTGTGGGGTCTGGTGGGCAGAAGACTAGACAGGAGTTAGCTCCACATTGTGGCCCCTGATCACTTGAGACTCCGGCTCTGAGGTGTTGCAAGAGAATGCTCAGACTACAGATAGCCTGCATTTTCCCTGATGAGCGTGGTGGAGGCCTTAAAGGAAAAGGAATGAGGGAGTGAGGAAAACGTCCAAGCCCATTTTTGATTAAACAACAACAAAAAATAGTGAAGTCTAAATGTGCAGCAATGGAAGACTTGACTCACTTTTCTGCTTGGATTTCTAGCAATAGAGAAAACCTGAATTTCAAATTCTTCCTTCCTTTCTCCCTCTGCTCTTATCCTTCCCTCTTTTGCTCCTTCCCTTTCTTTAGAATCTTTTAGAAATAATACACTGTTTTCAACAGACCATTGAATTATAACTCAAGTTTAGGAAAATTTCCATAAATATTTTATATTACACAATCAAAAGGCAAGTTACCAGTTTAGTATCACTCTAAATTTTATCAGTGAATCTAGCTCTTGTACTAGATCTGTAGCTCCTCAACAGTAAGCACACATTTTAGAAATTTTTCTTTAAATAAATAAGCAAGTCCCCTCAGTGTCACATTTGAGTACACTTAGTACCCATTAAGTACTCACTGAATATTGGTTCGAACGATGTGATAATCTTTTAGAATTTTGAAGTAAAATGTGAAACAGGACCTGAGGTTAAATACTGCTTAAGGGGGAGTTAAAGTTGTTTCAAGATGTAGATACTTAATAGTAATTTGCTGGGCTAAAGAATACTTTGTTTCCTCCATGTCCTAAGGCAGTTTAAGTGTGTTGTGACGGGAAGAGTGGCATTTTGACTCAAAATTTCTAAGAACTCTTATCCCAGTATCCTGAATATAGAAATTCTTAATAAGTATCTTGGAAGTTGATTGTTCTTACCATTTGAGGGTCACCTACTCAAAGGAGTGACAGGGGAGGCTCCTGGCAGCTGGGAATGAGAGGGCTACCTCCCAGTCCACCTCTGAAGGGGTTTCCTCCTTGGCCGTCACCAGTAGCTCAAGACAGTACTTCCCAGAAACACTGCCCCATCCCCTGCCAACACCACACTCCTTCCAAAGAGCATGCCCTTCTTTTGACCCTCTGGCTTCCTTGTCCTTTTGGTCATTGGCTCTCTTTAGCTAGCATGCCATTCAAGCCCCCACCCCACACCAGCTTTTCTGATGCTGTCGTAGGTTGTTTGGAGTTAAACTTACCCAAAAGACGAGACCAAGGGAAATTCACAAGTCCTAATGACTCCCCAGTACCATTCTCTGAAGCTTCTCTCTCTATCTTTTTTAAAGTCTCCACAAACCGGAGGACCGCCCCCAGACTGCAGCAAGTGTTGCCATGGAGAATACAGCTTCAGAGGCTACCAAGGTCCCCCGGGGCCCCCTGGCCCCCCTGGCATTCCAGGTAAGGATGAGAGAAATGCTCTGTTTGTTGCCAGTCTAATTGGGCACTGTGCCAAAATCAGAGCCAGGGCGAATCGAAATAATTTGGGTTCACTGTGCGTGATCCAAAGGGTGTGCATGGAAAATCCGAAAGAGAGTTTTGGGCGAGGACTGGGTTTACAGAGCCAATTCGGTGGAACAATATACCATAAACTCTATAGTATTTATTATTTATCCAGCTTGCAGCATCCCACAGGTGTTCGTCATCTTGGGGCACCAGATGCACTGTCGGCGGCAGAGAGGGGGAGGCTCTTCACCAGCGTGGAGTACAGAATCATGGGATCTTATTGGACATGCTCTTGTTTGGGCCTTTCTGCCACAACGCACTTCATGCAACACACTATCTAACTTTCAGGGAACTTAGGAAGTGAAGGTGGGGAGGAGAGGAGCGCCTACTGGGCTGGCTATAGCCGTCTCCACAGTGCCGTTCACTGAACTACGCAGCCTTACGTCTGATTCTGCGTCTAGCTAAGTTTTTCTTCCCTTAGTCTCAGGGTCTGTCCACGTTCAGCTATCTCTTGGTTGACTTTCATGCCTCTCTTGGGCTCATGGGAACATTTTTGGGCTCCAGCACCACATGGCGGCATGGGAAACGCTGTCAGGCTCCATTCAGACACCCTACCCTACAGAGTGTGCCCCAGACATGGGAGGTTCTGAAAACTGGCTAGTGTCTGGGGTCAGCCAAGGAAAGGGTAGCCCAGATCCTCTCTGTCTTAGGACTCCCAAATCCATCTGAGGGTTAATTGTTTTCCTCTTTACAGGTTAATTACTGGGGGTAGGACTTTTTCTCAGGATTTGACAGAAGTCCACTTGCTCTTCTCTCACTTACCCTCAGTGATGTTAACATTTATCAACTGAGTTTTAATTTTTTAAAAAATATTTTATTTATTTATTTGACAGAGAGAGAGCTAGTAAGAGAGAGAGCGCGGGAGCAGGGGGGAGAGGGAGAAGCCGACTCCCCGCTGATCAGGAAGCCAGACGTGGGCTTGATTCCAGGACCCCGAGATCATGACCCGAGCTGAAGGCAGTCGCTTAACCGACTGAGCCACCCGGGTTCACCGAGTTTTGATTTTTTAATATACTTTTGAGTGGCTTCTCTTATGAAACCAAATTTAACGTGAGAAAACATTCTGTTAGACTTTACACCGTGATTACTGTCTTGGAGTCTATGTCATGGAATGTTAAGGGTGGCTCTAGCAGGTGCAGTGATTGGGGGTAGAGAATATTCATCCTCTTAAAATGTTCTGAAGTCTAAACTCTTTTGAGGGTACAGAACAAGCTGGCCTTGACTAAATGTTTCCCAATCAAAATGGCTTTTTTTGGGCCCATTAACTTGCAAACACAGTCAAAGTTCAATTATCTGGAGAGTTTGCAAACCTGGTATAATACCTGACCAAAGGTAGCATGCAAAATAAACTGCGACAGGGTGTGAAATTCAACAAATATAAAATAAAGGGAGAGTTGTAGAAATTGTCTCTTAGTGGCAAAGTGACGAGTTGAAATCATTATCTAAGTCTTGCTTTCAAAATTATTGTTACAATTTGTATCAGTGATTTTACATCTCCCTCGGTGATAAAAGTGGTGCACATCCTTTACAGAAAAATTCAAAGAGACGAAAAAGTACATAGCAGGACACAAAACCACTCGTGTTTCATCCATTCAGAAAAAAAAACAAAACCACTGGAAATATTTTTACATAATATATAAGTACTGTTTACACATAATATTGCACTGTCTCTACTGATTCATAACTTTTTTATCTAGAAGTATCATGAACATTATTAAATGTTATTAAATATTTTCCTTTAGCATTCTTTTTTTGTGATGATGTAACATTATTTACTGGGATGTGCCATTTTTTTAATTGAGCTCTTCCAGTATTGTTTGTTTCTAATCTCTGCTATTATAAATGATACTGTGATCATCAGTCCTCAAAATTTTTCACCCAACTCTTGCTTTATAGGAAAAACAGGCTTTGGAGACTTGAGTAGCTAAGGCTGTCTTCAGTGTCCCATGTAAGAGAACCCATTTGATGATGCCTCCTTGGCTGTGTTTGGGACTGTTTCAAATGGTCTTCTTTTGCAATTGAGAGCGAACATTTTCGAAGAAAGGGTCTGGGGCACCTGGGTGGCTCAGATGGTTAAGCATCTGCCTTTGGCTCAGGTCATGATCCCAGGGTCCTGGGATGGAGCCCCGCATCGGGCTCCCTGCTCGGCGGGGGGCCTGCTTCTCCCCCTCCCTCTGCTTCTCCCCCTACTCATGTTCTCTCTCTCTCTCTGTATCTCTGTGTCTGGAATGAATAAATAAAAAAATCTTTAAAAAAAACAGGTCTGCATTTGTATAACAATAGATGGTCAGTGTGAGTGATGGGGGCTTTCTCCTATGATGCCTTCTGCTTGTGATTTAAGGAAACCATGGGAACAATGGCAATAATGGAGCCACTGGCCATGAAGGGGCCAAAGGTGAGAAAGGAGACAAAGGTGACCTGGGGCCACGAGGCGAAAGAGGGCAGCATGGCCCCAAGGGAGAAAAGGGCTACCCGGGGATTCCGCCAGAACTGCAGGTAAGTCACCTTGGGCAGATCTCCATGGGACTTCTAAACTGCCCAGACCCTTGAAGTCCAGGAAGCAGAAGGCCCGAGTGCCTCTTCACATCCTCACTGATGGCTGCTGGCCCACATGCCCGCATGCCCGAGGCTGGCTTTGCTCAACCCCACTGCAGGGCATTGGCAGGCGGCCTGTACTCTTCAAAGAGCATTTTGAAATCATTCCTAAGAAGTTGAAATTCAGCTCCCTTCTTAGACTAAATACACAGAAGCCCTGAGTATCAGCTAATGTCCCGTTTTCCAAATTGGAAGAGATGTTAAATAAAAAGGGTTTTGGTAACTCAAATATATAAATGGAATGTGTCTACCTCAAATATTTTATTTATTCATTTTGTTACATTTACCAATTTAAATCATATATATGGATATTAATATATAAGTATTATTCTCTATCAACTCAAGATCTTGTGGCAGTTTTTATTTAAACTTTTCTCTTGGGGCGCCTGGGTGGCTCAGTCGGTTAAGTGGCTGCCTTCGGCTCAGGTCATGATCCCAGGGTCCAGGGATCCAGCCCGAGTTGGGCTCCCTGCTCACTGGGGAGCCTGCTTCTCCCTCTCCCTCTGCCTGCCTCTCTGCCTACTTGTGCTCTCTATCTCTCTGTCAATAATAATAATAATAAATCTTTTAAAGATTTTATTTATTTATTTGAGAGAGAGAGAGCACATGAGAGGGGAGAGGGTCAGAGGGAGAAGCAGACTCCCTGCTGAGCAGGGAGCCTGATGCGGAGCTCAATCCCGGGACTCCAGGATCATGACCTGAGCCAAAGGCAGCTGCTTAACCGACTGAGCCACCCAGGTGCCCCCCCTCAAAAAAAAACTTTAAAAAAAGAAATAAACTTTTCTCATCAGCATCTTCTTTATCGCTAGAGACATTTTATTTTTGAGTCATCCATCCTAGTTTAGACTAAATTATATTTATTTCAGCTTAACATGTTTTGAATCTATTTATGAGGCTATAATTGAATATTTTATCCTAAGCTTACGTGTTCATTTGTCTATTGTTTATTTCCCTTTTAAGTGATGTTCAAAATTCTTGTGGCCAATAACATCTAAAACTTGCAAATGCAAGGTTAGGTCACCAAGAAAATTACTAAGTCTTGGCTATTTCTTTATTTCCTGGCTGATGTTTTTAAAATTGATTTTTCCAAGGGATTTCTATCAACATTGAAAGTTAGTGTTTATTATTAATTATAATGGTTGTTAAGTGTATCATTAGTTGCTGACGCTCTCGACGGTGTGGCTGACTGGGGGCTGTGGCCCGCTGCCCCTGCCCACCATCACAAGAAAGGGTCTATTGCCTATTGATAGCCCCAGAAAAGATCCAAATTCAAAATCTGAAGTATGGTTTCTACTGAAAGCAGATTGCTGTGGCAGCATCTAAAGTTGAAATATTATTTCACACAGCTGGGGGCTGTGTGTAATTGAGAGAATATACCATAGCCTGAGAGACTTTTAAAGAATCAGAATACAGAGACTCTTTCTGAAAGATCAATTGGGGGAAAACTTTGCTTTTTATTTGGGCATATCTGATGGTTGTTTGACCTCGGATACATTCCATCATTTTTCTGGGCCTCGAGTTTTCTAAGTTATAACCTGAGAGGTCTTTTGTGTTTCTCGAACTGTTTTTGAGGTTTTGTCACTTGTAAAGGAACGCTGTTTAATAATCTTAGCAACCTGGGATTAATGGGCCGGCAAAAATTTACAAAGAAAAGAAGACAGATGCCGCTTGGCCAGGTTAAAGGTGTCTAATGAGAGGGATGATTAATATCCCCAAACCTAGAAACTTTAATTCTAAACCTGTGATGGTTATACAAGGGCCAGGGGGCCCTGGAGTAGCCAGTCTGATGGAGCGCACCCTGGGCAATTATTAAAATGCTCCATCAATTATTTTACCCTAAAACCACAATGTAATAATTTGGGAGAACTACACTCACACATTTTATTTTATTTATTTTTAAGATTTTATTTATTTGAGAGATAGAGAGAACATGAGCTGAGAGAGGGAGAAGCAGACTCCCCACTGAGGAGAGAGGGAGAAGCAGACTCCCCTCTGAACAGGGAGCCCGATGCAGGGCTCCATCCCAGGACCCTGGGATCATGACCTGAGCTGAAGGCAGATGCTTCACCGACTGAGCCACCCAGGCACCCCCTACATTCACCTGTTTTAAAGGAGGCATTACAGAGGAAGAATGATTTGTTTCAGGCAGCCTATAAAGAAGGGTGACTTCCAGGCCCCTTCATTCCCATTTCCGAAATCCCTCCTTCGGGGTCATCCTTCTCCTTCCCCTTGCTTCCGAGTCCACAGCCCTCATGCTGTCTTTCTGACTGTCCAAATCCTTTCCGTGTTGATTCTCCTAAGCCTGCTTTCCCCTGGGTCTTCCAAACTTCAAATTATTCCCTCTCTCCTCTTTCAGCCCCTCCCTTAAAACTCCCATTCATTGAAGACTGATAATCCCAGGAAGCTAAAGAATTTTTTTTAAAGATTTTATTTATTTATTTGAGAGAGAGAGAGCATGAGAGGGGGAGGGTCAGAGGGAGAAGCAGACTCCCTGCTGAGCAGGGACCCCGATGTGGGACTCGATCCCGGGACTCCAGGATCATGACCTGAGCCGAAGGCAGTCGTTTAACCAACTGAGCCATCCAGGTGCCCCAAGAATTTATTGATCTAACTCACACTCAGTTACAATGACTCATGTGGATGGGGGACTGACATTGATTTTCAAATGTGACTGTCTAATAGCGGTACAATTCCAGTGTGGGGGGGTTTTCCCACACCCCCAAGCTAGGTGTCCTTACAATTCAACTCAATTCTGACACTACTTACCTGGAGAATGCATCAGATCCCAAGCGTAAAAGCTCAGCCCTACAAGACTGCCACCCCCAACTTCAGACTCTACTCTAAGTCTGGATTGTCATCTGTGCTTCTGACATTCCGGCTATGAAGGGGAGGCTATGAACCCTCCTGGGGTTCAAGTAATTGCCAGCATGAACTCAGAGAAACATGTTGCTTACTCAATCACTGGTTTCTTGTAAAAGGGTATAATTCAGGAACAGCCAGATGGAAGAGATGCATAGGGCAAGGTTTAGGGAAAGGGGTGCGGAGCTTCCCTGACCTCTCAAAGACCGAGTACCACTCTCCTGCACTTCCCATGTTCACCAACCTAGAAGCTCTCTGAACCCCTTTCTTTTAAGTTTTTATGGAAGCTTCATTGTATAGGCTTGATTGATTAAGTTACAGGCCATTGGTGATTGAATTCAACCGCCCACCCCTCTGCCCTTCCTGATGTGGGGTGGGACTGAAAGTTTCAACCCTCTAATCCCAGCGTTGGCTCCAATGGCAATGAGCCCCTATCTTTAGGTTACCTAGGGGCTTTCCAAAAGTCACCTCATTAACATAACAAAAGACCCCTTGCTCTCCCTAAACACTTAAGATATTCCAATGGTTTTGGGAACTCTGTGCCAAAAACTGGGACAAAGACTAAATGTATATTTATTACAAATCATAATATCACAGTTCTTTTGGAGAAAAAAATAACACAGAGTGAACAAAATTAAAAGGTTATTTGGCTGCAGGCCTACTCAGATCCTTTAATATGCTAATGTGCATTTAATAGCATTTAACAGCTATAAGTAGATTTCATCCAAATTTTCTCAGTAATAGAATTTTAATATTTCAAAAAACATTTTGAAACACAAGGTGAGAACTGCTGATATATACTATCATTTTAATGGCTTCATAGCATAAAATGTTAGAAATTACCATGATTTATTTAATTTTTTTCTGTTTATTTCCGATCTAGTTGTTACAAATAATATTGAACTAAACTTACTTTTATAAAAACCCCATTTCTTTAAGGTAAATTTCCTATTAACTAACTTTCCTTAGATTGCATTCATGGCTTCTCTGGCAACCCACTTCAGCAATCAGAACAGCGGGATTATCTTCAGCAGCGTGGAGACGAACATCGGAAACTTCTTTGATGTTATGACTGGTAGATTTGGGGCTCCAGTATCAGGTGAGATGTAAAAATAAATGAATGACTGAATTATTCAACTAGCAATCTAGAAGGAAGGACAGAAAGAAGGTAGGAAAGAGGTGAGGGAATGGGGGAGGAAGGAAAATGAAGGAAGAGGAAACAAAGAAAGGAAGACACTAAGAGAGTTGAGAATTCTTTCTGATTCCGGTTAAAACAATCAGCTCATATATAGGTTTCTGTTGGATTTCAAAGTAAATTAATTAGAATTCAAAAAGACGCATACACTTTTTTTTTTTTTAAGATTTTATTTTGTTATTTGTGAGAGAGAGAGAGAGCATGAGCCGGTAGGAGAGGAAGAAGCAGACTCCCTGCTGAGCCAGGACCCGCCCCCCCATCCCCCCCCCCCCCCCCCCGGGATCATAACCTGAGCGGAAGGCAGACGCTTAACTGACTGAGCCACCCAGCCGTCCCAGATGAATACACTTCTATGATTACTAAGATTTTTGACTCTGATTCGAACTGAAGCAAATAATCCCTCAGAGGACATAGTTACCTCTGACTTTAAAACTCTTTAGATCATAATTCTCACAGTTTAAATGTGTCATTACGGTGCCCTCCTCTCACCACCACCCCAAGGAGGACCTGATCCTTTGAATAGTTTTTTTATTTGAATTTTTAAAATTTCTCGAGCACTTCTGTATTCATTTCCTATTGCTGCTCTAATAAATTCCCACAAACTAAGGGGCTTAAAATGACACACAATTATTCTCTTGTAATTCTGGAGGTCAGAAGTCCAAAATCAGTGTGACTGGACTGACGTCAAGGTATAGACAATGCTGGTTCCTCTGGAAGCTCGAGGGCCTTGCCTCCTGCAACTTTGAGAAGCTGTCGACATTCCCTCTCTGTCAGCCACATCATGTCAGTCTCTACTTCAATGGTCACGTCACCTCCTGGCAGATTCTGACCTCCTTGGCTCTCAAGGGCAGCGTGATCACCTTGGGCCCCCCTGGGTAATCTGGGATAATCTCCCCATCTAAAGATCCTAAATTTAATCAGACCTGCAAAGTCCCTTTTGCCATATAAGGTATCATTTGCAGCTCCTGGAGATTTTAGGAATTGGGCCGATTTGGGGGTCAGCATTCAGCCCCTACAACTTCCTTACTTTCAGCCACCACAAGCTGATCGTCTGGGTAGACTTTTCCTGCTGTCCTTTGAATATGTGGTTGTAAGCCTTCTTTTTGCCCTGAAAAGTTTCTTTGAATTATATTTTTAAATATAAATTTAAACACTGTTTTTCCTTCTCATTGCTGTACTAAGGTGGGGTGGCATTGGGAACAGTCTGACTTGTGTTAGGCAATCAGGCAATAAGTGGGCACATTGTCTATGGGATTTTTTTTTTTAAGATTTTATTTATTTATTTGACAGAGAGAGAGATAGCGAGAGAGGGAACACAAGCAGGGGGAGTGGGAGAGGGAGAAGCAGGCCTCCCGCGGAGCAGGGAGTCCGATGTGGGACTCGATCCCAGGACCCTGGGATCATGACCTGAGCCGAAGGCAGACACTTATTGACTGAGCCACCCAGGTGCCCCTGTCTATGGGATATTTTTGAACTATAGTAAGACCAATGAAAAGGTCACTAGATTTTTATCGTCATCCTAGTGCAGCAATTCTAAACCATGTCAATCATAAAATACTCCTCCCCTTTGGGGTTGACCACTCACAAGCATCCCCCCCTACACACACACACACACACACACACTTTAGGACACCACTGGTTGGTTAACTTGTGAAGGGCTCCCATTATGTTTTGTTGGTTTTGTGTTTAACTTTTCTTCATCTGTCTTCTGTATCTATTATTTTCTCGAATCTCTTGCTGTTTTTTTTTAATTTCCATTTCATGTTGTTTGCTTTCTCTATCACTATTCTGCATGTTCTTAATTACATATGCTGAGGATGAATTTTCCTTTTTGCTTCTTCCAATTTCTTCTGTCTTATTTCTGTGATTTTTCTTTACTCTTTCTATGTCTAACATTACTCATTAGTCCCAGTTTTTAGTTCCTCCTCTTGTCTGGACATTTCTTTCTTTCTTTCTTTCTTTCTTTTAAGATTTTATTTATTTATTTGACAGAGAGACAGATAGCCAGGGCAGGAACACAAGCAGGGGGAGTGGGAGAGGGAGAAGCAGGCTTCCTGTGGAGCAGGGAGCCCGATGCGGGACTCCATCCCAGGACTCTGGGATCATGACCTGAGCCGAAGGCAGACGCTTAACCATCTGAGCCACCCAGGCGCCCTTTGTCTGGACATTTCTGCCGTGAGTTAATAATGTTCTTTCATGGAGGGATTTGCTTCATTAACATATTTTAAACTCAGGATGGAATATTTGGTTACAGTTTTCATCTGCTACCTGACATTTCTTCTCAGTGAGTATTCTTCCTCTATAGGTAGTTTCTGCTCATGTTTTCTACTTTCTAAAATTAACTGGTGGTTGAATGAGTTGGATTTCCCTAGACCCGCCAGGGGCAGTAATTTCTGCTGAAGGCGGAGGGACTTCAGCATACTTCCGGCTCCGTGGTTCCCTCTCCTGCTAGCAGGGGACTCAGTCTGCTCTTTGAAGTGTGGCCCTTCTGTGTGTTTTCTCTGTGTGGCCACACTTCCTCTGCTTCCCTCCTCAGACTGCAGTGGGTCTGGGAAGACTTGTGAGACCCAGCCTTGCACGTGTAGTTCTCTTGCCCTTAGGAGTCCTGTTTTTGCTGGTAGTTTCAGAAATCTGCCACTTTAGGACCACTCACCTCACTTTTTGTACTTTATCTAGCAATGTTCCCCCAAAACACCACTTATGCTCGTAAGAGCTGCTTTTCCACATGTGTGGCCCTTCTCCATCAGGGAGTGCCTTTTTTCCAGTACTGTGAGATCTGCCTCGGCTTGGCCTCCTCAAAACTCCTTGCCTCTGCGACTCTGCCTGCTGTCTGTTGCATTTGACAAACTTACAAGTATTTGAAGTTTATTGGCTTTTTTCAGACTCCTAGTTTTATGAAAAATGGATTCTTTCTGGTGTTTGTTTTCAATGCTCCTTATTTCCCTGTGTGGGATCTAGAAGGAATAGAGGAAAATTATGATGGATGCAGTCGCCATACTACATTTGTCACAAGTGCTTTTAATGCCTTGATTTAGTTTTCCATGTAGCTAAACTCAGAAATAAACAGATATATGAAGTGATAGAAGCGATCTTTCATCACACTTCAACCAGTTGTAAACCTTCTTATGTGATTTTCTGCTCTGAAGGTTTACAATTATCTTGTAACTATTTTGTTACACACTATCTGGGCTGCAGTTTACATAAGCACCTCGAGATGCCCGATGGCTCCATTGCTTTCAAGGGCTTTATAATGGAAGTTCAAAGATTTAGTAGTTTTTTGGAACTCTCTTGGGTCATCATTTGGTAACAACCATCATTTGCCTCCCACTTTAAACCTCATCCAATAGATGACAAATTGAGCATTTTCTACTTTTTGACTTTGGTAGTGATGGGACAGAGAAGGCTGATTTTTGCAATTACAGTAACACAAAGACCTGAAAACTGTAGCACAAGTGTGTTGCCTCTTCTTTCAGTATCTTCCCTTGCAGAAGAAAGCCATAGGTGGATATGATATATATTCACTTTTATATTTCCACTTCTAGGCATTTCATTTATTCCCCATCTGGTGTCTTAGTCTGCTCTTTCTTTCTTTCTTTTTTTTTTTTTTTAAGATTTTATTTATTTGACAGAGAGAGACACAGCGAGAGAGGAAACAGAAGCAGGGGGAGTGGGAGAGGGAGAAGCAGGCCTCCTGCCAAGCAGGGAGCCCGATGTGGGGCTTGATCCCAGGACCCTGGGATCATGACCTGAGCTGAAGGCAGTCGCTTAACGACTGAGCCACCCAGGTGCCCCTTAGTCTGCTCTTTCTAACATGCTTCTGCAATCTATTTTGTATAGCAGCCATCATTGTTTCAGGAGAACCAATACTTTTTCCTGCCATTTTGATTGCAGCTTTATCTTCTTGAGGCATTGAAAATTGTCACATGCGTGTATCGTGTGTGTATGTGTGTGTGTCTAATACGTTTTGTAAAATATAAAAACCTAAACACCATAAACTGCTTTCTTCAAGTCCTTTAATTTTAATCTGCCTTTACTTTTCATCTGTGAACCAATCTCTAGGCATACGAATGGATATGACTGATTTTTATACCAGTTCTTTCATTCCCAGCGTATTGAATATGCAAGCCTGGCACTAAGTGAAGCATAATCACACTTCTTCAATTGGTTCAACTTGACTCAGAAGCAGGCGGTCAACATGATACCCTTACAGCTTCTATCTTACTTGATTGTACATTTGAAAAAAAGCATAGGACTGTGCCATGCTATTTTTTTTTTAAAGACATTTCTGGCTTTTTCTCTTACAAGGCCTGCTGCTATGGTCTGAATGTGTCCCTCCAAAATTCATACATTGAAAACCTAAGGCCCAAGTTAATGGTATTAGGAGGTAGGGCCCAAAGGCCTATCATGATTACCTCATGATGGCAGAATTCTTGTGAATGGGATTGGTGCCCTCATGAAAGAGGCCCCACAGAGTCCCGTAACCCCTTCTGCCATGTGAGGATACAATCAGAAGTCTGTGACCTGCAGGAAGACTCTCCCCTGACCGTGCTGGCACCCTGGTCTCAGACTTCCAGCCTCTAGAACTGCGAGAAATAAATTGCTGTTGTTTCTAAGCTGCTCATTTGGTGGCATTTTGTTATAGCAGCTCAAATGGACTAAGACAAGGTCACTAGTTTAAAAATGTAGCATGGAAATCCATAAAAGCTTGATGATGTATATTCATTCATCTTTCCAAAATGCACTCTCAAATCCCACATCATTTGGAGTTGGGAAGATTTTCCTTTTTGCTCATCTCTCTGCTTTTTGATTCGTTTTAATCTTTTAGACTGTATCGGGTCATATTAAGTTCCTTTCTGTTAGGTGGCCTAGAGACTTATAAGAAAACTCACATCTTTTAAAATACATTGATCCTTTACAAATGAGAAGGATCCCTATTTTTAGTAGCAAGGTCATGCCGCTGAGTCATAGTTGAGTCTCTCTTTATTGTACATAAGTTCATCTACTTACAATGAATAACACGATAAATTACTAAAACTATTTCTTCAGAACTGATAAACACTTATCTGCTAAAATACTTCTTATCTCTGGGTAACATCTCTGTGCTGAGGGTACTCATCCATTGTAATGCTACACATGGTTCATTCTGTTAGGCCGCGGAGGCTGTGTGTTCATCCACGCAGGGCTCTGTACCTTGTCTAATAAGAGTCCTGTGGTAGGCGCTAACCTAATGACAGTTAATTGATACCTAGGAATAGCATGTACCTCACCGTAAGCACTTATCGGGGATACATAGTACCCACAGTGAGAAAGTCTCAAAAAACTTTAAAGTAGTTTGAAGGTGAGAGCAGATAAAGGAACACTCATACAAATAAAGGCGAAGAAGAGCCTACATACCAAATAGAATAGAAACAAAAAAAGGGAAGTCATACAGTATATCTCCCGGGCCTCGATGTACAATATATTAATACAAATGTGGCTATATACCTGCCTTTTTCAGGTGTGTATTTCTTCACCTTCAGCATGATGAAGCATGAGGATGTTGAAGAAGTGTATGTGTACCTCATGCACAATGGCAATACAGTGTTCAGCATGTACAGGTGGGTGGTCTTCTCTATCACAGGGATCAACCATGCCACCATGGCTTGCTCAAAGGATGGCAAATGCCAGGGAGTGTGTAAGAATCAATAGCACCTGACCTGTCATCACCAAGAGCTCCCATATACCAATATATGGCCAGATTATAATTACTATTTGGGAGGAAATAAATCTGATGAACTTAAGAATAAGCAGGTTGATAAAAGGCCTTGAGCTAATCACTAGCAACACTCCCCATAACTAATCATTTGTATCTTTTTTTTTTTAAATGATTTTATTTATTTATTTGAGAGAGGGAGAACACACATGTGCTTGTGAGAGCAGGGCAGGGGGAGAGGGAGAGGGAGAGAGAGTCTTTTTTTTTTTTTTAAGATTTTATTTATTTATTTGACAGAGAGAGAGAACAAGAAGGGGGAGCAGCAGGCAGAGGGAGAGGGAGAAGCAGGCTCCCCGCTGAGCAGGGAACCCAATGCGGGGCTCCATCCCAGGACTCTGGGGTCATGACCTGAGCAGAAGGCAGACGCTTAACTGACTGAACCAGGCGCCCCCATTTGTATTCTTTCCTTAACTCATAACTTCTTTCCTTCTTTCTCAGCCTTTTCTTCTATTTTCTTACTCTGGCCAGAGTTCACCCCTATTGATGGTCTTCTCTACTATCTTCCTCAGCTGACAGGTAGAGAGCTGGGAGTAGACCCGGGTCTTTAGGCTATGCCTGGCCCTAGAGCTTCTTGTAAAAAAATTGTTTTAGGGCGCCTGAGTGGCTCAGTCGGTTGAGTAGCCCACTCTTGGTTTTAGCTCAGGTCATGATCTCATGGGTGATGAGATCAAGCCCTGCATGGGGCTCCCTGCTCTTGGGGAGTCTACTGGGAAGATTCCCTCCCTCAGCCCCTCCCCCCACTCACTCTAATGTGCACACAGGCTTGTGCCCCCCCGATAAATAAATAAACAAATCTTTAAAAAATTATCTTAAAAAGAAATATTACAACTTGTTCTGATATAAGCTTAGGATGTGGGAAAGAGGCAGAGAGCCAACATCTTTCCCATAACTAAATGGGTGGTTGAGTTATTTATTAAAAACTCTAGTTGCTATCTTATCCCTGTCATTTTTGATGACTTGGGAGGATTGCCATTTCTTCTGGTACCTGGCCTCCAGTGGGAAGATGTATTTGAAAAACCAAAAGAGAAAAAGAGAAGTAGGTGAAATTGCTGCAAAAAAGAGACTCAAGGGGCACCTGGGTGGCTCCGTCAGTTAAGCGGCTGCCTTTGTTACAGACCATGATCCCAGGGTCCTGGGATGGAGCCCTGCGTCCGGCTCTCTACTTGGTGGGGAGTCCATTTCTCCCTCTCCCTCTGCCTCTCCCCACTGCTTGTGCTCTCTCATAAACAAATAAATAAATAAATTCTTAAAAAGAGAGAGAGACTCAATATGGCAGCTCAAACACTGCAGAACTCGATGTTGCTTGACCAGCTCCAGGATGGGGAAGGGCGAGGCAGAGAGGGTGGAGGAGGGCTTGGGTGGAGGCAGGTTGGAAGGGAGGTGCTGTATCTGGGTTCTGAGAGATGCAGACTGGTGAAAGCAGTTCTGTCACCTGTAAAACGGACTTGCAAATTCTCCCTGGTCATTGTCATTGCCATAGTCAGAAGGAGAAAAGAGCAACAAGCTTGTGAAGATGTTTATGCATCACACATTCTATTCAGAGAATACAGTTACATTGTTCCCCAGCCCTAACTCCCCTCAACCAAGGCAAGGGCAGCAAGGAAAAGTAGAGCTGCTCCTCTGGAAGCAGGGAGATGGAGTCTGGTGAAAAGCTAGGCTTCTCTGCTCCTCTGGCTACCAAGTAGCTGTTGAATTCTTCTACATTTAGAATGTATGTCTCCCCATCTCCACCCCCACGGAAGACATCCAAAACTGCAGTTCATGCATCCAGCTCAAAGCTTAGGAATGAGCAATCCTTTTTATCAAGTCAGCCTCTCAGCTGTTTTTCTCTTTGGCCCCTAATTCTGTTCTCTGAGAGGACCTTCCTTGTTTATTTGTCTCCATCTAAAAAGTGAGTAGGCTTTCCCTGGGGTCTTTCACAGCCCACTTCCTGCTCGTGCAAATTTGAGGTCTAAGAGTATTTAGTATTTAGTCAAACATCCCAAGTCCTTTGTGAGCCAGGTTTGGGTTTCTGGGTAATACCATTTCCTCAGAAACTTAGCAGGCTTTTATTCCATTTGCTACCAGTCAGTTATATGTGTTAGCAAACCACACCCAACATTCTTTTCTTGACAGTTTTTCAGCCTGTTCTTTCCTTGATTCCTTGTTTTCAGGCCCTTCTGTCTTGACTACCTAAACAATAGATTTAGGTAGAAAGGCAATATTTTTAATCCATCAAGTTATGTCACAGGCTGTGTCTATTAGATTGAATGAGAAGTCTTAATAGGACAACATCGACTATCTCTGCTATCTCTGGTATAAAAGCACTTGGCTTTTCCAACCCTGTTAGACCTCAACTTTCTAGACTCTCCCTTTCTGCTTCCTGTGCTTCAGACATCTCAGGTTTTGTCTGAACTAGTCTTTTGCAGAAACATCTTACTAAAAGCAGTATTTTGCCTTTTCCAGTCACTTTTTTTTTTTTTAAGATTTTATTTATTTATTTGACAGAGACACAGCAAGAGAGGGAACACAAGCAGGGGGAGTGGGAGAGGGAGAAGCAGGCTTCCCGCTGAGCAGGGAGCCCGATGCAGGGTTTGGTCCCAGGACCCTGAGATCATGACCTGAGCCGAAGGCAGATGCTTAACAGCGGAGCCACCCAGGCGCCCCAGTCACTTCCTTTCTTAGGGTATAGGCTTGGTAGACATAAGGTCTGCTTTCCACATTATCCGATGTTTTCCTAAATGTTTTGCCCCATCACGACATAGGTCTCCAGCTTTCAAGCCCACAATATTTGTCTCTCTGCCTGATCCTGAGCCAATGCAACATATTTTAGTTTGGCTTATAGCAAAACCATCCTTCAGTACCAAATTTTAAATAAGTTAGGGTAGACTAAATTGCTATAACATTAACCCAATGGCTTAAACATAATAGAAATCACTTTTCTTCTCATGGAACAGTCCAGAGTGGTTGTTCCGGGTTGGGGCAAGTGAGACAGAGCTTCTGGCAACATAGTCTTCAAGAACTCAGGCTACAACACTTGGCTTCCAAGGTCATTCTGGTCATTGTCATTACCAATCCACATGGTCATAATGAGGAAGAAGCAAGGAGAGGTGTTTGGGAGAGTTGTGTTGTCCAATCCTATAAGTGGTACATGTCATTTTTGTTCACATGCTATTTAGAGAACTTAATCATAGGAGTCTAAGTGCATGAGAGTCTGGAGGAGAAGGGGAGGACATACTTTGGTAAAGAGGTGACTGTCCACTGCAAAGACTAAGTAGTTGGTACCTTTTTTTCTTTACAGTTATGAAACAAAGGGGAAGTCAGATACGTCCAGCAACCATGCAGTACTGAAGCTGGCTAAAGGGGATGAGGTTTGGCTGAGAATGGGCAATGGCGCTCTTCATGGGGACCACCAGCGCTTCTCTACCTTCGCAGGCTTCCTGCTCTTTGAAACCAAGTAAATATATGAATAGACCAGCTCTACTTTTGGGAAGATTTATGGCTGCACTGGTATTGTTATGATCTGAGGGACACTAGAGTTGAGGGTTCTACTCAGGAGCTCAGAAGAAGAATCCACAAAACAGTTCCCCTCAAGTGACCTTGACTAATATACTTGGCATGTTTACTCTTCCCCAGGCACCTAAAAAAGAATTCCCTTCTTGATACAGGTTGGAAATAATTGTTTCCATCAAAGAAGTCATTTGCAAAGAATTTGGCTGCTCTGTTTTTAATTTAATAGCAACTTTCAGGAATTCCTGAGGTTTGTGGTTCATCATTCTTTAAAACATTTCAGAGACCAGGGTGCAGTGATTATTATGGGGCCTGGGAGGAACAAGGGCACTTGCCAGGACCAAGTTACCAGAAACATTTGTAAAACCTAGACTGGGAAGTAACACTTTGATCCAGTGGGTCAATATTTATGAATAAATATAGATATTTTTAGTAGTTTCAGATAGCTTTTAGATAAGAAAAGTATTCACAATGCCCATAAATAATGGACTCCTCCTTTTTTTTTTTTATAAGAATACTGCTGTAATTAAATCTTGACTTGTAATGGCTTATATTTTTGGATATAGAATTTTCTCATGATCCAAAATTGGGTTTATCAGATCTGACTTATTATATTGAATTTTTCCCATTGTGTTTCTCAGATTATAATCGATCTTTGTTGACCCTGGCCAGCTTAAGTGAGGTTACATCCATATATACAGATACAGTGATCTTCTTCTCTCTCAATTTAGAAATTACCCCAATAAACTTTACACATACTGATATTCGAAGGAGCTGTAAACTCAGTTACATACAAACTAATGGATACAAAATATAAGGGCATTCCATTTAGAAGACATAAAATAAAATCTCTTAACCTTTTTAAAAATAAAAAATGATATGACTTTTTTGATTACCATATTTAAGCAATACTTACAATGAAGCTGTGCTCCTTTACTTTTGCCTGTCCCTCCCCAAAAAGGGACAAGTACAGAAGATAGTACACAGATTTTGTTTATTTTAAGCAAAGGAAGCATCATTGGCATATGTGTTTACCTTAATGTCAAATTATATTTAAAATGCACTAGAGAGATACCTGTCTAGCACATGTCATTTAATGAATCCCTTAGAAGCAATTAGCCCTTAATTTATTTTCTGTTACAATGTGAATTTCCACAAAAGCTTTTAAACTATGGGTTTAATTGTATTGATTACCCCCTCTAGCTAGAAGCAGAAAGAATTAATTAGGACTGCCCTATCAGCTAACTTGGTGTGCTCCATGCTCAGTTCTGTCTTTGACCCTTTCTTTTGATCTATAAATATTTTTAAATTCTTCCTGACCAACACAAGCAACGTTATTTGTGAATGGATATTATGGATATTAGCCAAAATGTGCTTGACTGGTTGGTAATGTTTTTGTGATTTTGTGTATGTCCCCCACTGCCCCTGGGGCTGTGTGGTCATGGGTGTTGAGGTTTATTATTTCCAGACATCATAAATATTTTGTAAAAGTGTATTGCCAACAGACATTTGAATGTTGCATGTTGCCCAAAGGGATTCCATGTCTAAAGAACATACACTATTAATAAAGTGCCTTAGAAGAAGATATTGGCTTAGCTTTAGATAAAACTGAGGTGAGAAAAATGTAAAAGCATTGTATGGAAATAAACATACTTTTGTTAAATGTATTGTTTTATAATGTTCTGAATAAAGTTGAATAGTCATACATTGTAAGTCACTATGGTTTGTTAACACAAAGTTAAAATATTTTCATGCAGATGATGTAAACAGCCATACATCGATGATGTAGGCACAGAGCATGGTCATTTGTCTACAAAATACTCCACTTTTCAGTTATCCCATTGTTATGACTTCAACCCTCTGCAAATTTAAGACATTGATGTTTGGAGGAGGTCCTTTAATGTAATCTGAGTATCTTAAGGGACCAGGATCTTCATCACATATATGAGGTCTTTCTATGCTGATGTAAATTCTAGTTTTCTTCTTAGTAGAGACACCCAATTTGGTTGCAGGCAGGTGGAAAAGACTTTAGGCTTGCAAATAAGTCCCAGGTGTAAAAAAGAGTGCTTAGTAAGGAAGGTGGGGGAAGATCAAGATTGATTGTTTCACAATTTTACCCATGACCAGAATTATATCTGGAAGATTAATTTTACAAGTTTTCATAAAATTGAGGATGTAAAAAGGAGATAGTAGGTAGGTATCATTTAAGCAACCAACTTTTTTAAAAAAATCCCCTTTACCTATTTCACTCATCCCTTCTGTTCCCCTTTGGCAACCATCAGTTCTCTGTATTTGTCTGGTTTTTTTTTTTCAAAATTTGTTTTGTTTTCAAAATTCTACATATGAGTGAAATCATATGGTATTTGTCTTTATCTGTCTGAGTCACTTCACTTGGTATAATACCCTCTAGGTCCATCCATGTTGTCCGAAATGGCAAAATTTCACCTTTTAGGGCTGAGTAATATTCCATTTTATAGACATATATGTGTGTGTGTGTGTGTATATATATATATATATATATATATATATATATATATATATATATATGGCATGTTTTCTTTATCCATTCATCTATACATGGACACTTGGGTTGCTTCCATATCTTGGCTATTATAAGTAATGCTGCAATAAACATGGGGGTGCATATATCTTTTTGAATTAGTGTTTTTGTTTTTATTTTTGGTAAATACCCAGTAGTGGAATTATTGGATCGTATGGTAATTCTATTTTTAATTTTTTGAGGAACTACCATACTGTTTTTCCCCCTGGTTGCACCAATATACAGTCCCACCAACTGTTACAAGGATTCCTTTTTCTCCACATACTTGCCAACACTTGTTATTTCTTGTCTCTTTAATTCTAGCAATTCTGACAGGTGTAAGGTGATACCTCATTGTAGTTTTGATTTGCTTGAGCATCTTTTATGTGTCTGTTGGCCATCTGTATGTCTTTTTGGAAAAATGCCTATTCAGGTCCTCTGCCTGCCCCCCTTTTTAAAAGATTTTATTTATTTATTTGAGAAAGAGAGAGAGAAAGCATGAGTGGGGAGAGAAGCAGAGACAGAGAGTCTCAAGCAGACTCCACACTGAGCACGAGGCCCAACGCAAGGCTTGACACTGGGCTTGATCCCACGACCCATGAGGTCAAATGACCCTGAGCCAAAACCAAGAGTCAGATGCTCAACCCACTGAGCCACCCAGGTGCCCCCCCTGCCCATTTTTAGTTTGATGATTTGGTGGGGTTTTTTTTTTTTTTTTTTTTTTGGTGTTCAGTTGTGTAAGTTCTTCATATATTTTGGATATTAACCCTTTATTGGATATATCATTTGCAAACATCTTCTCCCATTCAGTAGGTTGCCTTTTTGGTTTGTTGATGGTTTCCTTCACTGTGCAAAAATAGTGACATTTTAAAAGAAATACATTCTTTCACTAGCTATTTGGTTATTCTGAAATACTGTTTATATGGAAGACAAGATTGATGCTTGATTTTTTTCATTTTTATTTATCAGTTTTTAGAATAATGAGTTGGTGCCCTAGAAATCTTCAAAGGTGATTAATAAGATCTCTTAAAAAGCATTATTATTAACTTATGATTTTTCATATATTTAATGTGTTTCAATCCACCAGAGTCATTATTATAATTTAATGGCCCCATCTTAATCTTCTGTGGGAGGTCCTTCAAGTAAGTACCTCTGTTCTTTTGACTCAGAATCAGGCTGGTGTAAATCTCTCAGCAGGGCAGAGGTGAGTGAAAACTGTGTAGATCTATATCCCAAACAGACTTTCATGCTTTGACCTTGGATGGGACTCCAGTGGCCTGAATTCAGCAGCACCAGGCAATTATGTAAGCTACTTGATATCCTTCCAATGAATTCTGTTGTATTTAAGCCAAGAATCTGATGGATCTAAGAGAAAGGAGTAGAAATGGGGAGACAAGTTAGGATAAGATGGACTACAAAAGCAAGTTCAGAAGAGTGACTGCAATGTAACATCATTTATGGAAATTAAAACTACAAAATATGATATATATAAACAAAATGTAGTATATAAATAGTATAGCTACAGCATCAATAGATATAATAGACTGTGGACCATATATCAAAATCATGGGAGTGCTTATGTCTTGATCAGTGGAGTGAGCAGGAGCAGAGAAATATAACTGTGGGTAGGGAGGGTAAAGGAGACTTTAGCTATGGAAGGTGTTAAAAGCTGCTGGCCTGTGATCTATTTGCTCCCTTTACTACAGGGATGACTTGAGGGTTAAAGAAAAAGGCACATGACTCTCCTTGTCAATTGTATCTTTTGTATCTATTTACCTTAGGTAAATAGATGAATGATATTTGCTAGAAGGAAGAGAATTTATCTATTTGATGCATTTAACAGATAGCCCTGGCCATAGCATTACTTATGCTAAATAAACCCAGAATCTAGGAAGCATGGTTCCAGAGCTAAGTAACTCTCTAGGATGTAAAATGAAGTCTGTTAGGTACCTGAGAAGCTTGTTAGAGACCTAAACTATAGCCATGGGTCAGAGGGTATATTAGTTTGCTAGGGCTATAACAAAATATCATAACTCTCCACCGCCAACCCTCTTAATAGTTGTATTAGTCTGCTCAGGCTGCCATAATAAGGTACTACAGGCTGGGCAGCTTAAACAACAGAAAACCATTTTCTCCCAGTTCTAGAAGTTAAAAGTACAAGATCAAGGTATGTGCAAGTTTGGTTTCTTCTGAGGCCCTTCTCCTTGGCTGGCAGATAGCCACCTTCTGCTGCGTCCTCACATGGCCATCCTTCAGTCCTTGCTTTCTGTGTCCTAATCTTTTCTTGTAAAGACACCAGTCATATTAACTAAGGCCAACCCATATGATTTCATTTGATCTTAGTTATCACTTTATAAGCCCTATCTCCAAATACAGTCACATTCTGAGGTACTGGGGTTAGGACTTCAATATATGAATTTTGAAGGGACATAATTCAGCTTGTAACAGAGGGTATGTGTCCAATGTAGGAAGGAAGGGCCATGTGAGATTTTCAAGAACTCTGATTTGTCTGAGCCTTTCCATGACCTGTATCTTTGAACTTATTAGTAAAACTTGATGCTGGGTAATATTTCTGATTCATGTGAATCCATCCTGGTTGTTATATGTATACTGTTTCCCTGGAAACAAATATAAAAAAAAAATATTGTGTCAATCTGGATGTCTTCTTTATCAGTCTTTGCAATTTTCTCTTTAAGTTTTTTAAAATAAAAATAAAACAAGAGAAGGGGGTAAGGAAGCTTACGTCTGAACAAAGGTAGGAACATGGGCTAGAGAGGGTCAAGGAGGTGTTATATTAATTAAACAAGGAGGCCATTAGACTGCTGTGGTTTCAATGCCTTGGCAGCCTACTAAACAAATAACCCTGTAAATGTCTCAAAGTCATGAAATTGAAACCTAAGAACAATCCATCACAAACAGCCAAGCAGACTTTCACCTGCAGCTAATCAATCACTTATTTGCTTTTCTCTGTAAAAGCCTCTCCCCAGCTCCTGTTGGTAGAATGCTCCTAATCACTTCATTTTGGGTCCTGCTTGATTAGAATATGTTTTGCTAAAAAAACAAACAAACATACAAACAAACAAACAAAAAAACCTTAAAATTTTTAACAAGCCTCAGTTTAACATTGGATATGCAGAAAGAGAAGCAAAGAAATCCTGTCTGAGTCATGTGACTAGCAACCCCTCAAAGGGCAAGGAGCCGAGAAAAATGGAAATCACCCTTCGGACCCGGCGAGGAGGCGGAGCCGGGATCCGCCCAATGCGCAGACTCCAGGACAGGGCCCCGCGCAGGCGCAGGAGGGAGGGAGCGCTAGGCGGTCCCGCCTCCCTGGCGGCCTGGCGGCCTGCGCTACGTCTAGGCTGGGACAGTTCTTCACTTGGAGACCCGGGAGCCATGGCGCTGAAGGGTATCTCGGTGCTAGAGCTGGCCGGCCTGGCCCCGGGCCCGTACTGCGGTATGGTCCTGGCGGACTTCGGGGCGCGGGTGGTGCGTGTGGACCGACTGGGCTCCCGCGGAGATGTGAGCTTCTTGGCCCGGGGCAAGCGCTCGCTGGCGGTGGACCTGAAGCGGCCGCAGGGGGCGGCTGTGCTGCGTCGCCTGTGCGCCCGGACGGATGTGCTGCTGGAGCCCTTCCGCCATGGTGAGCCCCCCGGCGCCTCCTCAGCGCCGCTGGGGGGCGGGACGCAGGAAACGGGACGTTTGACAGGCAGCGCCCGCTGCACCCGTGCCCTGTTGCCGCTCAAACCCTTTCCTGTCCCTGCCTTTCTAGATTGTTCTGTCAGGTTTGCAGTGGACCGTTCGCCCCTTGGGATGATCTTCCGTACTTGGAATCCTAGATACTGCTGTTGCCCTTGTTCTCCTTATACCCATTGCCGGCTCCTTCCCACATTGCTCGTTTTTATCATCGCCTCTTCGTATTTGCCTTTCTTTATTATTGGAGGGTCACGAATCCTATGAGAATCTAACGAAAGCCATAGATTTCCCTCCCTGGAAAACTGCATATAGGTACATAGTCGAAGTTTGTCTACAGTTTGGGGGGTTGGTGTACCCTCCAAAAGCTATCCTCTGACCCAGGCTAACACTCTGTCTTAAATCCTTGTGTTCCCAAGTTCCAGCTTCAGATCAATTTAGTTTACACTCTGCGTCCTGGAGCCACCTTATCTGTT